GGTTCACCTCCAATCCCTTCTTCCACATTTGAGTGGCATCACTCCATCAATTTAAAGGCAAGATTCGGGATAAAATAGGTGTGGAAAAGCGTTCAGTTATGAAGCTATAGGTGGGAGGTGGTCTGTAAAAGAGAAGGAAAGCAAACGAAACCACCGATTACGCCCCGTACAGAGACCTCCCCTATTTCAGCCACATTCCACCTTGGGATAGAGAAGAGGCGCGTTGGACGAGTTTCACGAACCTAACTCTAGTTGCTCCAGTGCCAATGACATTGGATCGCAATGGGACCGCTGCCTCAAATGCGCCCGCGCTTTTCAAGCAGCGCCACGTGGCAACCGACAGCGGAGGGTGGGGCTTGCGGACGAAGGTGTGAGTTGCGGGTCGGACGAGCTCCTTGCGCCTTTGTCGCGCACTTTCAAGCGCAAAAGGGGCGCGACATCAACACTTGTCCACCTGCCTACTACCCCTGGATGGAACAGGCGAGCCCGCCTGATCGCGGAGCGTGCCTTTAATCGAGATTCTTGTCTTTAAGGGGTTGGGCATCGGAGACTGACAAAGATTAACTGGGGGTTCCTGTCAAATCAAATCTGCATAGAGCTACTGAACTAGCCCTTTATTAATCAGATGTAACTGAGATGGATTTCCCAAATTTACAGATAAGGATGGGATCTCAAGAAGGCAACTCATGTCGCTAACTCCTCCCCCCCCCACAGTTGTGCAGCCCCCTCTCGCACATCCAGTTGTGCACCAGTTGAACTAACTGATCTATGAAACTGTGCTGTGAACATCATTCATAGTAAACCTCTTTCGACCAAATGTTTGTAACTTTTCCAAAATTTGTGAGAGTCTTTTGCGAGATGAAACGGCTCAACCAACATGATGGTGGAACGACCTCCGCCGAGTCTTTCGCCTACAGAGCTATCAGATTTAACATCCATACCTGTAAAACACTCTTTCCATAGTCAAAGGCATAGGGATTAATAGTTCTTATTTCGACCAAAAATGTTCTGTCCCAACCAAGATACGCCCTTTGAATTTGAGGGTCAAAATAGACGGAAGCCTTCCGGAAACCCTATATCCTGTCCTGGCTGACTTTATTTTTTATTTTGATATTTTATTTCTAGGCTCTTGTACTAGGTGCTGTACTTCTTCTATTGATACTTCTATGTGTTGCCTTTGAAACGTGGAGGTAAGCGAACGATTCAAACTTCAGTGATGAAAGCATTTATTAACATTTCCTCTTAAATTTCACAACAATTGTGACCGCAGATTGTTAAGGAGCACGATCCTAGACGGGTGAATGAGGCTATACCACATGATATAAAAGAAAATAAAAAGGCGAGGAAGGAAGGATGAGGAATATAAACTTAGCTATGTCGAAACTAGTAAATAGCCACCAAGGTTTGTTACGTGGAAGTAAGGCGAATTAAGCATGAACGTTCAAAACCCAAAAAGGAGATACTATTACGGTTAATTATTCCTTGTATTAGGTGCGCCATGCGGTCGATTTTATTGGGTATCGCAATGGCTGTGGATACGTAGCAAACCTAAATATACCACTATAACACAAAGGGCACCGGAAATTTTATGCCAAGAGAATTTCAAAAGTTCACTAAATTTCAAGTATTCCGAAGCTCCAAAAAATTCCAAAAAAGCTAAGAAACAATTTTAGAATGATACACCGAAAGATCCCGGAAGATTTCAAAGGAACTCATTTTAAACTGTCTTTTGGGTTTTCTTTTTTTGGATTTCCGGAATTTTGGAATTCTTGGAATTTTGTGAACTTTTGGAATTCTTTTGGAATGAAATTTTGGAGGTTCTTTTGTTCGTTAGCAAATATTTGGATCCTGATGAGGCCCCGGGACAGCTTAATACTAAGAAAGTCTATCAGACTATCTACGCAGTCTTTGTTTTCTACTTTCCAGACGTGTGAAACAATAATTGATCCTATGAAAGACATTTTAGACAATCTAGACGGGAGCGAGTCCGAAATTAGTTTACGGACTGGAGCGGCGTCCATGTTCACTGTCGCTTCTTTGCCTTTCCTCACAACTTTGTGTGGACCCTCCTACACAAATCTTCCTCTCTAGGGTTTGTTTTGTTCATCCAGATGGTTACAGCACACTTTGAACTGCGACTTTCTTTATGGATTGAGGGATTCGTCAATAACCTCTGCATCTGTGGGATGCGTCACACATTTTAAAACGTTTAGAATCGTAAGGGAGTTTGAGTGCGTGTTGGTCTACACAATGTTGTGCGTGCTCAAGATGTGTTTTATTATTAATATTAGCTTTATTGTTAGCTTTATTCTCATAAAAGATTCTCGTACCACAAAGCCGTCTCGAAGAGAGAATTGCTTTTTTTGTGAAGAAATTCAGAACTTTCCAAGTATAGAGTGTTGACATGAAGCGCCGCTACTGCAGTATTGCTTGTTTTCAGACATTGGAATTTCAGGCCCAGTACAATAGATTTGCTTCACGGCCTGAATATGGTCCAAATGGCATGGGCGACGTGGATACGGCAAAATCATTACTGAAAAAGATCTTCCATCTCGACGGTACCCATCTACTTCAGGATACCGTGAAGCACATTGAAGACCTGTGGAGGCATGAAGGCTTTAAATTCGGAAAATTGTTACTGTTTGACAAAACTGGAACGTTCAGGGTAAAAGCAACGATTCCCAGATCGTTTGACGCCAGATCGACATGGCCGAAGTGCTGGGCAGTTCATCAAATATTCAACCAAGCCGGTTGTGGATCTTGTTGGGTGAGTGCCCCAGAAACATGCCCTTTCTAAACTAGGGACGAAGCAGGTTTTATTTATCACTTCAAATGTAGAATAAGTAAGCATCTGAGCATCAGAATGACTCTCTCCATCGAAACTATTGACTGCAAAGTACGGTACATGCTGAAAGTTTTGTGCGCAGTACATCGCTAGGAAATTGTTGCTTAGTCACCACGCGACGCCACGCACGCTCTGTCGATCTTTCCACGCTGTAGTTGATTCGAAGCTTTTGAGGAGCTAAGCAGCGGAGATGCAGGCACGGTGAAAGAACACGCGCTTGACGGCTAGATAGTAGGAAAGCGGTATCGCACGAATCATTGGATCATTAACCGCGCACACAACGGGACCAGACGTTAGCGACGTCGCGCGTTGACCTCTTGCTACAGCCTTGATAAGAGCGACAAGGGTGGGCGCAGAGCGGCAAAAATGTGCGCGTAATCGTGCCGAGTGACGATACACACCCCTATTCCGGAACATTTTGCATCAATCTGTTGCCTGAGTTCCGATCCCAACGTTCTCGCTTAAAACAAGTACTCTTTACAGTCTGTAGCAGCAACATCTGTGATGTCTGATCGCGTTTGTATCAGCTCGAATGGCACCGATCAAACACAAATTAGTGCCCTTGATCTGACGTCATGCTGCTTGTCATGTGGAGGGTGAGTTAAGAAGTTGTAAATAACAATTTCCTGCAAGACTGATCCAAAAGCATTCTAAGCCTTGATAACTAAGTTTTCCTAGGGAACGAATAAGTGAATAATACCCGCTTGATCTCTCACAGGGCATGCACACTAGGGGGTTCCGCATCTATGAGGATAGCCCCGCCTACAGCATAAACTCTGTTTACAACTTACAAGGGAGGTCGTTTAGGGTGTGCCGAGCTTTTTGATTCCTCGTGGTGACAAGTTTTTGCATTTCGAGTTGACGTTTCAAATTCGCGCAAAATGGAGTTAGCATGAATAATTAGTACCAAATTCATGATTAGGACCGTCAGTAACCCTTACAAATAGACTTTGATTGAAAAACTGGTGAAAAAGGTGTGACTAGGGACCCCCTTTTCTGGTATTCAGAGGGCCGTTCAGGAAAAATTAACCATGGTTCTGTGGTTCCCGCATGTGCCCCTATATCATGCAAAAGACCGTTTTGAAAAAGCTTGGCACACCCTGAAAGACCTTCCTGTTAGAATTACCAAAAGTAGCCAGTGCAAATCAGGAGAAATCTCGATTTTATTTCAATGAATGGTAATGCATTGGAGGTTGAAGAAAAGCAAAACACATTCGATTGAGCAAATGAAGCCATTTGTTCATCCACTTGGCAACTGATCTCAGGAATCAGCAATATCAACGTGCATTGTGCAGGGCTTTATATTGCCTGGGTATAGACGTATTTAGACTCATCCGTTTAGATTTTGAAGAAGGCGAGTCAGTTGAAATGTGGCCGATCAGCTCAGCTACTAGTCCTGGTCCAGGCAAAAGTTGTACAGCAATGATGAGTTAGCGATCCTCATAAATATTCGGACAACAAAACAACTTATAAAATCGTATCAAAACTTTGACTCATTTCGCCTGGGCCAGAATTAGTAGCTCATCTCGTCGGTCACATTTAAGCCGTCTCGCCTTCTTCAAATTTAGAGGCAGATTCCGGACTGATCGTGTTCACAGTCCCGGTTCAAAGGCTAGCCCTACTCACAGATTGTTAGTAAATGAAATGCATCTTCTCAGGCTGTTCATTTTTGGAGACCTGACCTGAATCCAAAATACCTCTAAAATATTTCCTGCAGCTGGCTGAGTTTTCAGTCCCAGAACGTGCATTTAATATATTTCCGAAAACAGATTCTCATTGCAGATGCCAAGGAACGCACTGGGCGCTATCAGCATTCACTTATTGGAAAGAACATGGCCTCGTCTCTGGTGGGTGGTTTTATTACAATATCTTGGGATATATTTGTATTGAACGGATGGTACAGCTCCACCACAGTCAACCGGTCAACCGATAATCTGACCGAGAAAGAAAAAAAGGGGGGAGGGGGTTAGTTGTGGTTTCAGTAGGAGTTCGTGTTTCTGGAGCACACACGGGAGGAACTTTTGAAAATTTGGAGAATATACTCATACATATAAGTGTTATTGTTAACTATACGGGGACTTGAATTTTTTTTCGATTATCGCATCTCAAGAGTACGACATACTCCAGCGCTACGAACACTTCTAGAATTTCAGCGTTGGTGTGGGTGTGCCAAGATGTCTGATATCGTATATTTGCAAGCGGTCACACGCCGCTGTTAGCCATGTATGATTGATCAGAAGCCGACGAACTGTTTCCACATCAGCCACTAGCTCGAAATTCTTCTGTCTCATTGCCATAAAACAACCACAGCTGCCCGAAGATGTTGTTCGTGCTAAATTTGACAGGCTTCAGGAGTAGTCTTACCTTTTTAAGGCGGTTCCTACGGCACACATGAGGGATGCCGACCGTATGCATTCGAGCCAAGCTGTGGCAGTCCTTGTGGAGCAGCGCTCTATCGGAAGGATCGAACTCCACGATGTGAAAGGCAATGCCAGAGTCTCTATCATAGGTCATATGAACAAGACATTGTTAAAGGTTTATATTTGTGATTGATTTTAGTTTTTTTGGTCATAATCAACTCCACATAACTTGTTACAGCTAAGCAAGCCTACTGGTTACGAGCTATAAATGGAAGTTCTGAATTTACGCCAGTGGTGAAAGCGACTCTGAACAGGCTCACCAATGGTGAGATTTCATTATTCCAAAAAAGGTGAATCTATAGGTTGGTCCATGGTTTCCAGACCCCAGAATTTATGGGGTGTGTTAATACAGTCATCTTGTCACATCGGAAGCGTTCTGCCGAGCAAAGGTCTATCTGTTCAGGTACTTTCTCAACAGCGTGCTTCGACGCTGACAATGAGGGGGGGGGGGTGACTGATATGTGGGTGTTCTTTGAACAGTAAAAGCCAACCCCAAAAAGCGGTGCACAATGATTTGAGGAGGCGTGCTCTCACTCATCTTCCGGTAGAACTGATGTTTGGCCCACCGGGGCCGTGCTCCTCAGGAATAAGGCACTGCAATAAATTTTAGAAAAATTGAAATTCTAGCACGGAAGGCAAACAAGTTGGATAGCTTTCCAAATTGTGCGATATGAATGTCGGAAACTATGTTTCGAACCTTCGAAATTTTTTCGGGATTTTTCACATTAAATAAGGAGTGGCCCAGATATTATGGACCAGACTAATGCTGCTTGCAGTTGCAGGCGATCGATGAGTACATGCGCATCAATTCGGTCATCAGTCCGCTACGCATTCGCACGCGGCTGAGGCCAAAGGTGTTCAGTGAATAAGTTAAATCTAAATAAGATTGGTCGTGTAGGGAGATTCACCGAGCTGCTCCAACGAGAACTGATAACGTATGGTCCGGTACTGGCGTGTTTCACACTACATGAAGACTTTCAGCATTACAAATCAGGTAGGTCATTTCTTTGATATCTATTCCAAGTTGACCATTTACTCAAAAATCATGAAGTTCTTAATTTTTTGGGTCAAGGACCTTCAAATATTCAAAGCTCTACGGATCCTTGCGATTTGAGGGCCTCTCTAGTAAAGCGTTATCCACTATCAATACCACAACTACTTTTAAATACCCGCCTATTTAGCGGCGATCCATGACAAACATGAATTTCTTACAGGTATTTACAAAACTGAAGAGAATCGATCGCAGCAACTCTATGGACACTGTGCAAAATTGATCGGTTGGGGAGAAGAGGGCGGAATAAAGTATTGGCTCTATGCTAATACGTGGGGGCGTGACTGGGGAGAGAACGGTGAGCTGTTCGATTTTTCAATTTGAGCGAGCGATTTGTTAGTTGAGCAGTTGGTACCGCACGCTTGTGCGATCAAAACTCGTTTTTGCAGCGATGGGGAACGGCGCTGCCAGAATTTTCAAATTCCACTTGTGCGAACTCTTTACTATATGGCAATCTTGAATCTTAGCCCCTCCCACATCGATTCATGCCCCGCCCACCAATGGCCTCCACCTTCCCTTATTCGCCAACCTTTCCCATTTTTTTCCTGTCTCTGTGCCGTCTTGGGCTGGAATTATACAGATTCGTGAAGAATACCGCCCACTTCGGCACATGCCCCACCCACCAATAGGGCTTTTTCGCTTGAGAAAGAGATAGCCCGCCGTGGGAATCACAACAACGTGTTTCCCCTTAATCAAAGTGTGGGATTGGTTCATAGGTATTAAGGCGTGGACTGAAGTAGAAAAGTAATCGGGTTGAAATAATCAGATCGATTACCGTGGATTTTGGCATGCCGATTTGCGGCATGTACTCTGGCACATACTCGCGTCAAAGCAACAGTCCCAGCAGGGTCTGCTTCTTTCAATACTAATGGCACTAAAGGATGCACAGGCCCTATTGGAGAACATCTAAAGTGTAGTTATAAAGAAAACTCACCTGGGAAAAGCCTAAAAAGGGCGTTAAACTCCTCAAAGATGGGTGTGGTTGGAAATTTCTTCGGGACCGCCCACTTGCCAGCCGTGATTGGCTACGGAGGCATTCGTGCTCGTTTTGGGACCACAGGGAGTATTTGAACTCTGTCCTTTAAAGTAATCAATGTGATCCTGCCTGTTGCACTGGAATTGTTTCTTTTTTTGTTGTTGTGATGTTGTTATGTTATGTATAGTGTTATGTAATTATGTTAGTGTTATGCAACTGGAGCGCATTTAGTGCGGGCAAGTTCAGACAACTCGTCCAACGCGCGTCTTCCCACATCGCTAAGCGGCAGAAGGGGAGTCCCTGTTTAAAGCCCTGTTCGGCGTTTTTCTTTGGTTTTTTCGTCACTATCGGTCAAATTGTCGCCTATAACTACATTATCAACGGTATTTACCCCGCAAATTCGTCCTGGGATTGTTGCTTCAAGACTGATGTCAGAGACCGCGATCCGTCGGTCGACGGGCTCTGACATCAGTCTTGAAGCAGAAATCACAAGTGCCCCGATCAATACTGCAAGGTGCTCTCCAATCCTGCCGCCATTTCTGCTTGATGGTGATGGTTGAATGACGACTGTTCATGATTCTACTTGTTTCATATTCAGTGTTTGTTTAAATGGGCACTTGCGATTTTTGCGATTCGCGCGAATCGTGCGACGGGTCGCGGACTCAGACACCAGCCCAACAAGTTTCACATTCCCAGTGATTGCGTAGACAGCAATTTTTAGCACAAGTCTTTTTTACTGAAACCATGGCAGACTTTCAAATCAAATTAGGATTTTTTCGCAGATATCTGTGCTTGATACGCTAAACTGTGCTTTTACTATTGATGGCGAGCACATATGCTGTGCTCCACCTGCACTTTCTCTATCTCTCGCTCCCTCTCTCCCTCTCTTTCTCGGCCTCCCCTTTTCACCTTTTTCACAACTTGTGGAAAGCGCACAATGTCACACGTTGTTACAATAAAAATATTTTCAGGCTTTTTCCGGATCGATATGAGTGAGGTTCCAGAAGAAGTCGTTGCTGGTACCGTATAGATCTTCAACATGTTTTTCCATCACTGAGGAGGGTTGAAACTGATCATCAGGATTTGATATTGTAAATTAATTCGTGTGCTCTGTGCAAGTCACACATTATTTCATTGCTGAGTGTGGGTCAGGAGATCCTAATTGCGGTACGATAGTGAGGTTACGAGTGGCGTCGACCATGCTGCGTTTGCTCTATAGGCTCCAGTATAAACGAGTAGTCAGTAGTTAACACACTATCGCGAGCGTAATGGCCTAGTTTTCACAAACCGCCGCAATGCATATCGGTTCCTTTGACCCACACCTGTGATCACTGACTTTCCTTTGTCCTTTTTTGTTTCTTTATTTATCGCTTTGGTACGTATTACCAAATAACTCTGTGATCTGAGGGCGATCCTAGTAAAAAGCACTGGGCACTATTGCAGACATCTGGGTTATGTTTCGACCTTATTTGGCTCAGGTACCCGACAGGAGGCCCGTCGCGCGGCAAGAAGGCAGAGTCAGCGGACGAGTCGCAGCGCGTGATGTGCGATGTAGGACGTACAATGGTACATTCTATTTAACTTGACGCGAAATCACCACAGTACGCGCTGCGACTCGTCCGCTGACTCTGCCTTCTTGCCGCGCGACGAGCCTCTTGTCGGGTACCAATCTAGCTCTTCAGGATATGGTCAAGCATTCAAATTTTGCACTTATTCGTCCTTGCAAAAGCGTTTCCGTTTGGTGTTACATCAGCCATCGGCTAACGTCCGCACTCAGATCTATGCTGAATTCAGTTTCTCGGTGCTATGACCCTATCTGTTGTCATCATTGGTTCAGAACTTAAACCTATTTGTTAGGTTCAACACAATGGTGACAGCACTCGAGGAACTGGAGCGACTTGGCGATCGTAATTTGATAACCAGCCACTCCGTCCTGCGTAGCCAACAAAGTTTGGTCCTCGATATCGCTCTGTGAAGCTGCTAAGGTAAAGAAGTGCTCTCTGCGCCATCAAAGAGCGGATAGAGCAGCTATGGGGGTCTGCTCACTGCTATTCAAAAATCTTTGAGCTTAACCGCTTTCATCTCCTTCTTAACAGGATAGGAAATTGACTGTAAATCCGGCTGGTTCAATTTGCAAAATTCCAGACGTACCTGGTACCGATTCATTGACCCTAAATTGATAGGAGCTTGATTGGCTCGAGTGAGATTCGGTCCATCGGTTTTAACCATCGGATCGAGCGCGTGGGAAATGGCTCCAATTGTCACTCAACACCTACGCCCAACATGATCTAATGATCATTAAAGGCTCGCTCCGAGATTAATCACGCTCACCTGTTCCATCCCGGCGTAGTAGACAGGCGGACAAGCGTTGATGTCGCGCCCCTTTTGCCGCTTGAAAGTGCGCGACAAAGGCGCAAGAAGCTCGTCGACCCGCAACCCACACCTTCGTCCGCAAGCCCCGCCTTCCGCTGTCGGTTGCCACGTGACGCTGCTTGAAAAGCGCGGGCGCATTTGCGGCAGCGGTTGCATTGCGGTCAATGTCATTGGCACTGGAGCAACTGGAGCTAGGTTCGTGAAACTCGTCCAACACGCCCTTCTCTATCCCAAGGTGGAATGCGGCTGAAATAGGGGAGGTCCCTAATCGGGAGTTTCCTTTGCTTTCTTTTCTTTTCCAAACTACCCTTCACTTCCTGCTTCATTACTAAACGCTCTTCCACGCCCATTCCATCCCGACGCTTGCTTTTAAAACAGAAATCAATGTACAATGCCAGTCGGATGGGTACGCTTTTACGAATACGGTAGGCATGAAGTGTACGTGCAGTGTTTATGACCTAACAGACGCTATGAGCATCGACAATCACTTTGATTGCTTTTTTACGTTTGATGGTATTTCCTGCTGGATCGGTTGAAAATACACCATCGATCAATAGTTGGGGAAGAGAAGTTGTTAAGTCATAGCAGTGGCTCGGTCGGTAGGCGTCGATTCGCGCTTCGCAGCAACTTGCCATCGAATCAGGGCATAATTACGCTCGTCCCATCCCATTGGCCAAACAACTCGTCCACATCAGCTAACCGCTAGATTTACATAATTGGCCGATCTACAGTGGAGCGCGACCAATCTCGATTCTTCCTTCGACTTCTTTTCGTTCTGCACGTTCAATTATCGAACCAACTGCAGAGTTACTTCGAAGTGATTGTGCCACGATCATTTGGAGTTGTGATACATTCCACTTCACAGCAACTTGCAGTACATAATGAGAATGCTCAGTGAAGTGAGTCTACCGCTTGCGAACCATTCTCACTAGCAATTTCCGAACTGGTGATTTTTCCTCCAACGTGCACTTTATTATCATTTAAATTGTATGGTATCGTATAAGACATTCCGTACTATTCCCTCGTATTCAGCCCTCTTTGAGTTTTCCTTTTAACGAGTTGCTATGTCCAGTTCAACAGAATGACATTTCTCAGTAATTATTGCTAGAGGGGACTATGAGACGTGCGATGTTGCATCCAATATGCCCATGAGAGATCCAAATACAACGAGATTGGGATGAGACATGCTACTTGGCAAACTAGAAGTAAATCACTGGCTTGGAAAACATCAATTTCCGTATCCAAATGGAAGGGAGCATCCAATGAAACAGGACCGCAATGGACGCAAAGTCATACTCATTATGGATGACAATCACAGTTAAATTTTACTGGAGAGTCCACATCAGATCACGACATCGTGGGGAGGATACCTAATCTTTATAACTCGCCAATTCAGTGTCAGCGTCACTTACTGAACTCACGACGGCAACAGAACCTCCGACTAGTGCAGTGTGGATTTCTATGTGACTGAAACAGCGCGTTGAGGACATCTCCACTTTCTTTTGAGCTCATAGTTAGACGTATAAATTCAACCTCACACCATAAAAGGACAGGAAACGAAAAATAGCAAAATGCTCAGCACAATTAACCCCTTTCTCAATGATCGCCTGGAGTTTGTGTTCCCATCATGATGAATGGTTTCCACGTATTCATCACATAGCGCGAAAGCAAGAGACTTCTCTGCTCATGTCACAGCATTCAAAAAGAGCAAGTGTATCCGGAAAAAGACCACTAGCCATAAAACTACAATGGAACTTGTATAAACTGTTTTCTTAACAAAAAACCGAAGGAAATCGTTTTATGAACTGCAAGTTGCTGGGAAGTACATTGTATCACAACTCCAAAATGATCGTGATACAATCACTCGAAGTAACTTTACAGTATTCTAATAGATGAAGTGTGCAAAGCGATGTCAGCGCAGGAAATAAGCCGGAAGAAGAATCGAGAT